GATGCCGAAATTCTTGCTTTTTTTCTTTATTTTTGGCATTAGCAGCCAGTTTCTCTCTTAACAACTTCACGGCTGTCTTCATGGCACTATGCAAATTGTAGATAGCAATCAAAGACCTGTCAGTTTGGAATGGAGGTCAGAACAAACCAAGCTGGTGGACACGTACATACATTTTATGGTAATGATGATTTTTTGGGCATTTTATGCACACATTAGGAAACAAGGCACCTTGTGAAGCATCTGAAGAGCCATAGGTGACAAACTCAAGTCAACTGCTTATTATTAACTTTCTTTACAAAACTTGAGTTTGCTTGGCTGCACTATAAACAGATGAACCAACTAAATATCTGTTTACGTCTGCCAAAGCAGATGTGTTTTTTTTTATGAATCTTTATTGATCAAAACTTTGATAGCTCCAGTTTTCAGCTTTTAATTGACAATTTTCTGTGTCGAAGGGATCCCAGTTATATAGACAGTACATTAACTCTACATAACCTTCATTATCATGTCACACCCTTCCTCTGACAATCTTCTCAGTGACCCGAGAAAGAAGTGGAGCTTTAATGAAGTCAGGGTCTGCGAATGCATGAATAGCACTGGACTCCCATTTGAATTAAATCTATTCATCCATGCCAGTGTGATTTCTCTGTGGTACTGAGGAAATCGAAGGCCCTCTGAGTCGTGACATTTGTGCCATGGCTGGTGGAGCAGGCTGGGAGGTGAACACCCATCTGCCTATATCCCTGACCACAAATTCCAAACCCATTGCAATACATAGACTTTGCCTGGAATGAGAAAGATAAGGGGAAAGGAAATCACAGTGTAATAGGTTTGTGACCAGGTGTTTTAGCAGACATGTATACATGTGTCTATTTGAAAGAAAAGCAGAAACACATTTCTTACAAGCAAACACTGTTATTCTTCCACATACACCAACAAAGGAGCATCCAGATTCACTTCCTGCAGTGCACCTGTGACACACAGTCTCTGGGGCGTATTTTATGATTACATAATAATCTTTACTTAAATCCATTTCTTGCATGGGAATTAGTATCAGTGTCACACGCTTCTAATTTCAGAAGTCTCTCGACATACTAAAGTAATCCCTCCCAGATTTCAATATTAATTTGTCATGTGTATTCAAAGAGAGCCTTGCACGCTTTGAAAATGAGCTGAGAACAAACCAAGAGACTTTGCTGACAACAGAGAAGGGATTTAAATGATTTTAGACAGGGGGAGGTCAAACTGTGAAACCCCCACCAGGACTGATGCAAGTTCATAAGACAGATGTGCAATGTGCAAAGCAGATCTCCAGCAATTAAGACAAGAGAAAATAGCACATCAGAGATATAAGAGATGTTCTCGAGGCTGATTTCATTGCTCAAATGTCAAGGTACTGATTATGAGAAAGAACTGCAGCACAATGCTGAAAACACAGTTTTATACACTGTAGTCCATGCGCTATTAGTATTATTAATAAAGTGGACCTATCCTACTTTTTTCCTATTTTCTGTCATAACTATGAGCTAAAACTCAAGAGCAAAAATTTATTATAAAACTAGCTTAAAGGGAGAGGTTAAACTCAGCAGCTTCACCAAGTCCCATTGTCAGATAAATACAGACTAGTTATTATAGAATCTGCACAATTACTCTAGCAAAGAATAAAAATATGGAGCTGGGAACGAGCTTGATATGCACCTTTTACACTCTTATTAAACATCATTCACACTACAAATCACCAGACTACACAAAGCATCAAGTCCAAATTGCAGCTCATTATCATTTTGTTGAAGGACTGCTGTGTTAACTCGTATAGTAAATCTGAAATCTGACAGTTTAAGCCAAGATAATGATCAATAGTCAAAGCCTACTGCTGTGCTCCCATACTATTTAATTAATCACTGTGCAATGTTTCAATGGAGATTGTCTTTATTTTTAATTCAGGGCACAAAAGAGTTATTTAGTAGCTCCATTTCAAAAAAACCTGGTCAAATCTATTGTCTCGCTTTGTTTTTGTGCATTGTTTATTGTGTCAGTGGTCTCTGTGGTAATGCCATTTCTGCAAAGCTGTCGAATACATTGTAACTTAAAGCGAAACACTGATCAACACAGTTTTATTTGATAAATATAAAGTCACTTTCACTGGCTGATTAGCTTAGCACAGATGAAAAAGGCGACTATGTTGCAGAAAGCCCTGCTCCCAGTCTAAAAAAAGAATCTAAAGAGTCCATAAAAAAATAACAAATTATTTTTCATGCACTATAGCTATCACACAGATGAGATATAAATTGTTATTTTTGTAAGTTGCAGTACTTGTTTCCTTAGTCTTTGTGTAAACCCACAACTCATTTCTTTATATTTTTCCAGTAAAACTGGAAATAGGTGCAGCTATTTATCAAAATGTATGCAAAAATAAGGAGCATATGAGGGAAAAACAGAGTATGTAGAATCTAAAAAACTTGAAGGTGAATGTTTGGTATGATGACCTTTATTCTTCAACACAGCCTGAACTCCCTTAGGAAAGAGTTCTGTCATTTCTTTAAGTAGCTTTCAGGAATAGCTCTCCAAGCTTCTTGAAGGACATTCAAAGCTCTTCTTTAGATGTTGGCTACCTTTTGTTTTGTTTTCTTCTTCTAAAGCAGTTTTCAGACAGTACTTCATGGCGAATCAAAATTTGATGGTACATTTCTGCGTACATTTTCCAAGTCCACAACACCACTGGCTGAAATGCTGCCTCCACCACATTTACACCTGGCTGAGTCTAACCTCAGCCTTTTCTCCCTGTTATTCATTAAGTATGGCTTCTGGACAGTCCCCCTTCCACTTACAGCATTTCTGGTGAGGCTCCAGTGAACAGGAGGTGGATCAACTGAAGGTCCAGATGCATCTCTCAGGTCTTGTGCCAGGCAAATTTGTTCCTATTTCTTCAGGACATAAGTTTCACATATTGTTTATCAGCTTCAGATTTTTAGGCCTGCAAGTTCTTATTTTCTCTTTTGTCCAGTTTATTCGGTTTTGTTTTTCGAGATATGCCTTATGCATTTTCAAACTTTATGTACAGGAACTAAGCTGATCTTTTAAATTAAATTCTCAGTGGGAAAGCAAACAGAAGGTGTTGAGGATCGTGTAGTGAGGCAAAACTCACCTTAAATACTTCAATTTGAAGCCTGAACATTGCTTGATGTTACAGATCTTACTGTAATTGTCAGCGTTCATCCATCTCTGCCATCACTCCACCCACTTTTCTTTTTTTCCTAAACTGAGCTGCATTAAGAAAACAGACTGAGGTCCTAGGGTCACATCCCTGAATTGTTTGCCAACAGGTGGTGAGGTTGCTGCTCCTGCAGGGAGCGGCAGCTGTTCCCCATCGCTCACTCACCAAGGTCTTGCTGTTTCTGCCATCATTCGTGGAAACAAGGGCAGAGCTTGATGAGCCTCTGGAAAACTGATGGCAAACGCACCGGGAGACAGCTAAAATGGCAGGTATTAGTAGATTAGTGGCTCTTGTGTGTCATTAGCTAAGGTAATAATGGAAGGCTTTGTGGGAGGTTATGTTGTGTAATGATGCATATGATAGCATAAGCCCTTATTAAACTACATTTCAGGCCTATACTGACCCACATAAAATGTGTCATTTGATCAGTAAATGGCATCTAATCCATGGATTTTCTGATTACCACTTCCTGTGCGTTCTTGTGCGGACTGCAGCCGTCGGTTCTCTGCACACCTGTTAAATTGTAGGAATATTTAATCCACCTTTCTCAGAGGATACCATGAAGGGAATGTGTCCTTACATGCTTGTGGTGCCGTGGGAGGTTCCACTGCACAATCACATAAATGGTTGTTCAGTGTAATCCAGCTCACGCACCTATGCAAACCTAACCATGCTGCAGTATAAGTCTCCCGTTTTGTTTTTTTTAATCTTAAAGAGCTTAACACAAAAACACAAAAGAGAAAGGAACAGGAAGGTATTTTATGGAAATACCTGCCACAGGCCACCTGTCATCCAGACAAATTGAACTGACGTAAAATATAAATAATTTACGCTGAACAACATAATCCAGAATCTGTTATGCTGTGCTACTTTACTTCCTCAAAACTTGAAATTAATAAAAGACATATTAATTCATAATAAGTTCATAATAAGTAGTCATACAATGTATAGTTGTGGTGTGCGTACAGTACACATCCTTTTCCTCAGATTTCCTGGATTACTATGAGATTTCCAAAAAACATGAACAGCTTCATTCTGACATACTGGCACATCCATTGGGAGATCCCCAGTGCCATCTGTAATGGCTGGTGGGGCTGGTGATAAGGAAAGTGAGTCTTTATCTCAGCCCAATTAGGCAGCTAATTGATTCAATACCAGTCATTTAGACCTCCTCCAGGCTCAGGATTGAGCACTTCAAGCCTTTGAAAAGACATCAGGTCCCCGCAGGGGAGCAACCAGGGAAAGATTGTGTTTGACCCTGCAAAGGAGGTAGATTATAATCTAGATTTAAATCCTCTAAATAGGAAGAAATGGGTAAATCTGACGAGAGATTCAACCCTTAATATTAACTGTCACTTTAATCTCTGACTAGTTTCATTGATTATAAGACAAAACTGTTTCATTTTAACTTCGCAGTGATCAATTAGCATTTTTTTTAAAGATATTAGAGTATTTTTATGGGTGTTTATTGGAATTATTGACCAATAGAATGTTAATAGTAATATAAAACATGATATGCTTCAAAATGTGTCTATTTTTGTGTGGGCTATTGGTTCCCAGCCAAGTGTAAAGTGGATGGAATGAGAGTTAGCGCCTCCAAGTCTGAGTCCATCGTTCTCAGCTGTAAAACGATGGAGTGCCCCACTCCGGGTCAGGAACAAATTGCTCCCCTAAATGGAGGAGTTTGAGTATCTGCAGTGATGCGGTTGCTGTACTGGCCTGTTGAGGTACAGAGCGAGCAAAGTGTGAAAGCACTGTCAATTTACTGGTGAATCTACATTCCTACCTTTAACTATTACCATGAGCTGTGGGCAGAGATCATGATTACAAGCAGCAGAAACAAGCTTCCTCTGCAGGGTGGCTCAGCTCTGCGAGATAGGATGGAGTCTGGTCATTCATCTTATCTCCTCCACATTGAACGAACCAGTTGGGTTGGTTCAGGTATCTGATCAGGATGCCTCTTGGGCGCCTCCTAAGTGAAGGGGAGGAGGCCCCAGGGGAGAATAACTCTTGGGAATTTCTTGGGGTCCCCCCTGGATGAGCTGGGAAAAGTGGCCCGGGAGAGGGAGGTCTGGGCTTCTTTGGCCTTATGACTCAAACATAGATAAATGGAGTGGAGACCAGAAAACACGTGAATGCATAGATTTTGAAAAATGCAAGACATCTCATGTTTTCAAATAGCATACACAGCAATTTTGTCCCTATTGTCAACGTTTGTAACAAGTACCACCTATCATACATGCTTATTACAAACTGCACAATTACTATAAAACTATTTATAAAAGAGCACTGCAGATTAACACTTTCTCAAATCGAAATATTTAAACAAATTTTTATCCATTCTATTTTCTATAACACCTGGATTTTCCATGTAATCTAGCTACATATTTCCATAATTCCATTGATGTGCGATCATATTAGGTGCAGATCAGGATCAAACTGCAAAGTGGGACACTGCCCTTGATTGAGAATATGCTCTCTTAGTGTCCTTCTGAAAAAAGGATGAGCCTACTGAGCCTATACTTGCAACATAAGAACAGTGCTATTTACAGAGATGGAGGTGGCCTTTCATTTCCCATGGTGCTAATCCAGCACTGCCTCTGGCTTTCCATTTCACTTTTCTGAGGAGGCAAATAACTCTTTTTCTTGACATACTGAAAGCAGGCGATTCATTTGAGGTCAAATACAGGTTGGCTGCTAACAAAGGGATGATAAGCTTGACTTTTAATGCAAGACAAAGAGCAGGTACATGAAATTCATTGAGTCATAGAGATTTATGCAGCCCGTGACCTCAGCAAAGGGAACGTAATGAGCGTCAAGTTCATAAGTGGTATGCTCTTGGTTCTATCACGTAGGACAAAGCAGATATTATTCATAGGATGATGACATGGAGGAGACTGTGTGGAGCATCACGTGGTCTCTAGTGGTTAGTCTAGTGGTTATGGAAATAAAGCAAATCTCAAAGAGATGCCATTTTAAACAATTTAGTCTGGGTATAATATTACAGTATTGTGGTCACATGTAAAGGCCTCATCCACACATACACTTAGTCTTGCTTCTTTAATGAAGACAACTTTTCCCCTTTACACACAAAGCTCGTGAGTAAAACATTTTAGGTGCAGGTATCTTCAGAAACACAGAGAAGTGCAGGAAAATGTCGATGGTTGGAAAGCTGGTCACAACTGAAATAATCTGAAATGGTTCCCAAACGTTTTGAATTAGTTTCTAATCAAATGGTGTCTAGCTGTAACTCACCTCTTAAGTTAGATGTCTTTAGCTATTTCTGGGTGCAAACTCAAACAAAGACTGTGGCATCACTGAGAGTTAAAAACGGCCCCAATGCTTCCATCTCCAATAAAATGTTCAGTGTGGCTGTTGTCCCGCATGTTAGTTTAACTGAAAAAGAGGATTTATACAGTTTAACAGAGTAAGAACTTAGCAGGAGGTTAGCTTGTTGGATTTTTTGACAATATGAAATTACCTCTACAACTTTTGCATATTCACTGTTAACTACCGTGCCACTCACAGCTAAAACTGCTACCAAAGCCTACAACCATGGCCAATGCTAATGGTACTTTTTTCTTCTTTCTACACACACTATTCCTACTGCTAGTTAGTCTCCCAAAGGCGAACTGTGTTTGCAAGACATTAATTTAGAAAACACACAGCAGATGTTTCAGATTTGGTTGAGCATCACATTTAATTTCTGGCTCAGGCTGATGTCAGTTTAATTTTGTGCAACACATAAGTGTCTCATACCACATCAAACACCTCCTATATATGTATTTGTATTCAACATGATAATGTTCTACAGCACAAATGTCTTTATATTCTCAGAGGGCACTTGCAGCAACATTTTAAATTGTCTATTTGAACTTCACGTGTCCTAGCGTTGGTGATCTGGCCTGAGCATCCCGCCACAATATAACTCACCCCTCATTCGGAGGTAATGAATGTGTGTGCGTGTGTCTGTGTGAGATGGAGAGAGAAATCTGGAAGAAGGACCCGGCCAAGCTCAAAGAACAGCATGTGAAGTGCCCTTAGATGCCACAAGAGCTCACTCTGAGCGAGGCGCCTGACGGGTGGCACATTTCCCAACGATGGGCATGATTTGAATGAAAAGTGGCAGGGTTGGAGATGGATTACCACAGGGAGGAGAAGGGAATTAATCCTATAGCCACGCACGCACAAACGCATTAACACATGCAACAAATGTAGGGGATAATAATATACTTTCATCACAAACACGCTAAAGCCAGGAATACTTTCTCCCTGATTCTGTTTTAAACAAATGCAAGAAACACACTCAAGTGTTTGCTCCTACACAACACACCACAGTACATGAATGATGACACTGCCAGCCAGTGCTTTGTAGCACACTTTTTGCAGTGTCATTTGAAGGTCCCACACTTTCAAGTCTACCCGGGATGCTCCACCCCTCCTCCATCCCCTTTGCTCATATACTGATGTTTTTCCTGAAACATTAAAGTAGCTTATTGTTTCCTCTGTCCTTCCTTTCTTCCTGAACATATCAATTATTATCACGTCTTGACTCCAACTGGCCAAGTTTATAATGGCTTTAGATGTCAGGAAGCAGACTGTTTGGGTATGATTATTAATTTGCATCTACTTACCGTAGAAAGCTAGATTAATTAGTTTGGCCAATTTTATTTGCAACTAGTGCTCAAAAGACTTGTTAATTAGTCTTTTAAAAGCAAAAATACATATAATGTGAAGATGTGACATTTTTGTTGTAAATATATATCTTTGTATTTTTGGACTGTCAGAATGAACAAACTTGACATTTACATTTGACATTTTTGAAACATGCTATGAGTCTGATTGCATAGAAGTCTATGAGAAATTACTCTACAGCCACTTTGATGTAATGCAAGAGTAAAACCTTCCCAGCTGGTCGCAGTTGGTACTTTCTAGTCAAATTTTAGTACAGCAGGATATTCGTTTTGCAGATTAAGCTTCCATTTTGTGCAAAATAGACTATTAATCAGGGTACGAGTTAGTGCATGGGTACCCTGAGATTGACAAGTCACTAGTACAGGTAATCAGTATCCATTACGTTTTTTCCTAAATCTGTAAAACAGTGGTTATTAGATAATCAAACCAGAGGCTAAAGGTGAAAATTAGCCTTTGTTGTCTCAGCAGTGTAAAAGTCACACTCTATGCCGTCCTGTGAAAACTAAGTGCACCCTAGCTGCTTAAACAGGAATTAAGAGGGTAAGTAGCCAAGTGCTTCTTCATTAATTGATTATCAGCTAGTCTCACCATCTCTATAAAAGCAGAGGTGCTAGAATCTTCTCAGGAATGGATGTGCCAGGAAATTCACCCTGAAGTCAGACTGTGCAAAAAAACCCCAAGACCTACATTGCACATTCTACAGGCCTCGGTTAGCATGTTCAGAGTTAAAGTTGATGACAATGCAATTACAAAAAAGTCTGAACAGGTATGGCTTGTTTTCAAGTATTGCCAAGAAAAAACTCTTCCCTCTAAAACATCTGGCTGCAGGGTTTTGGTTTGCATAGCTGCATCTGAACAAACACAAAGACCTCTTGAAAAGATGAGACCAAGGTGAAAATGCCACATTTAATAAAACCAAACACAGAATATCAGCACTAACACCTCATACCAACAGTCAGCACGTTGGTGAAAGGGCTGATCATTTGGCTTGTTTTGCATCCATAGGACCTGGGCGCTCAGTTATTGAGTCGACCACAAATTCCTCTGTATACTAAAATATTCTGGAGTCAAACGTGATGCCATCAGTCCAACACCTAGAATTTGGAGAAAACTGGGTTATGCAACTGGACAATGATCCCAAGCACAACAGCAAATTTACAACAGAGTGGGTGAAAAATAAAAGAATCTAGGTGTATAATGGCACAGTCACAAGTCCAGACCCCCAAAGACTGGAATACTGTGGTGATGATGTGAGATATTGAAAAGACAAGTTACTGTAAAGCTGATTTTAAGTGAATGCTGCTAAAGATGGTTCTGTAAGTTCTTGAATTCTTGAGGTGTACTCAGTTTTTCACAAGAGTGCATAAAATCTGTTCTTTCTACCTTGCTGCTAAAGCTTTCATTCCTGTGAAGAAAACTTGAAAAACATCTGATTATAAGCAGCACTCCACAACAGAAACCGCGCCAGGTTCAATAGTGATGTCTCCAAACGCGACTTACTGCTTTCTATCAGATGTATTTTGCTGCTTTGGCCTGGATTGCTGCTAATTTAATTAACGTCAACAATCCAAAGATTTGTTACTTTATATAATTTTAAATAAGATTCCATCATTTTTGAATGTTACAAGGGACATTCAAGTGAGTTTCACTTGAGTTTAATAGTTTAATGCTGCATATTTATCTGGTTTACGCACATAAAAAATGGCAGAATTAACAATTAATACTACTTAAATCAAATGTAACATATGCCAAAAAAAGGCAAACATTTGTGCCAAATCAACTACAACAACATAGCTTTGTTGCATATTACAATATGTGTGTTTTAGGTGAACATCCATTCTTTATTATTCTACAGAAGCCCTGGCCTAACGTCTCCACACATGTCTGACATGAATATCGACATGCCTGAAATAAAACTCAGTGGACTGGGAAGTGACAAGTCCTAATTCTGCAGCTTGTGTTGTAGCCGCGTAAGTGGACTGGCTGGACTGGCCACCTCACCAAAGGTGCTAATGGTATTGACCACTTCATTGTGAGTTAGGGAAGGGCATTGCTAGAGCTGGCAGTAAACAACTCCAGACTGACAGGTCAGGGTGACTGTTGGCTTGATTGCTTTCATTACTCAAACACTGTCCAAAGTCTGACCCAGCATCAGCGCCCAGCTTCAGCACCCCCAAAAATGAATCAAAGCATCCCCAAAGATTTCTTACTTTTTTGACAATATTTGCTGTTTGTGTGACACACTGCTAAAAATATAAAAAAGCATACAGTACTTTGTTGAGACAACATTTTAGTATAGATACCCCCCCCCTCCCAAAAGCTGCATTTAACCTTCAGTTACTCTTTATATAGTTAGGTAGGAGTCAGACCATGTTTCTTTTTAGCTGAAAAACATTACACCAGGTAACCTGGGTGTAAAAAACCCCAACTTGTTTTCCGGCGATGTTTGCTACCCTACAATCTGTCCTACACTGTAGTAAAATCAGCAACATTTGACCATCCTGTTGCTCCCATTGAAATGTATACAGCCTATTTAAAACCTAAAACTTAAAATTGTCCGTAGCCTACTGTTGTTACCACTGTCCTGTTTTAAGGACAGTGGTAACTAACTAGCTACCTAACTAGCTAACTGACCGAATGCCCATTAACCTTAGAACTCCTGTTGTGTGTGTGTTTTTGGGCCACCCTGGGGCGCACACATGTCAGTGCGCCCCAGGGTGGCTGTGGCTACAATGTAGCTTGCCATCACCAGTGTGTGAATGTGTGTGTGAATGGGTGGATGACTGGATGTGTAAAGCGCTTTGGGGTCCTTAGGGACTAGTAAAGCGCTATACAAATATAGGCCATTTACCATTTTTTTTTGTACAGAGAGACAGCCAGTTCTGTTGGCTTCATCGGGTGAGGGCCTCCAGCTCCCACTGGAACGGTTTGCAGCTGAGTGTGAAGCAGCGGGAATGAGGATCAGCACCTCCAAATCTGAGGCCATGGTCCTCAGCCGGAAAAGGGTGGAGTGCCCACTCCGGGTTGGGGATGAGTTCCTGCCTCAAGTGGAGGAGTTCAAGTATCTCGGGGTCTTGTTCACGAGTGATGGGAGAAGGGAGCCGGAGATCGACAGACGGATTGGGGCTGCAGCTGCAGTAATGCGGACGCTGCACCGGTCTGTCGTGGTGAAGAGGGAGCTGAGTGTAAAAGCGAAGCTCTCAATTTACCAGTCAATCTACGTCCCTACCCTCACCTATGGCCACGAGCTGTGGGTAGTGACCGAAAGAACGAGATCGCGGATACAAGCGGCAGAAATGAGCTTCCTCCGAAGGGTGGCTGGCCTCTCCCTTAGAGATAGGGTGAGAAGTTCGGCCATCCGGGAGGGGCTCAGAGTAGAGCCGCTGCTGCTCCACATCGAAAGGAGCCAGCTGAGGTGGTTCGGGCATCTGACAAGGATGCCCCCTGGGCGCCTCCTGGGTGAGGTGTTCCGGGCATGTCCCACCGGGAGGAGGCCCCGGGGCAGACCCAGGACACGCTGGAGAGATTATATCTCTCGGCTGGCCTGGGAACGCCTTGGTATTCCCCCGGATAAGCTGGAGGAGGTGGCTGGGGAGAGGGAGGTCTGGGCTTCTCCGCTTAGGCTGCTGCCCCCACGACCCGGCCTCGGATAAAGCGGATGAAGATGGATGGATGGATGGATGGAGACAGCCAGGTTCATAATGGATATAAGGGAGTTTTTGGTTTGTTTGTTTTTTTAAAAAGGAGCCACATTCAGGTAAAAGTGTAAAATCAAATGATCCATCAATCAAGAATAATGTTGGATCAGTGTTTCAATATTTTTTTATATTGAATTTATATTGAATATTTTATATTTTTTTATACTTTTATTAGATGTTCATGTGGTTTGGTTATTTTCCTTTTGGTTGAAAGTAAACTGAGAGAGGACTTTTTGTTAGTGATCTTAATAGTATTTTTTTCATATTAATGTAATTTTTCATCTAATTGAATACAATCTATTTGTGTATGATTGTCAGTCCAAAGAGGAAGAGGAGAAAGAGGTGAATGTGAGGAGAAAGTACAAGGTCAGGAAGAACCAGGTAAGAAAACAGACAGGGAACAGTGACAGGCAAAACAGAAACTATTAAACTGACAAAGAGAAAAAACCTTATTTTACTCATACAGTCTGGAAGTTGTGTTCTCCCTATATTAAAGTTGCTATACAGAATCTGCAAAACAAACTGGTTTGAAACATTTTTGACCCTCTTTAACAACATTCCAACATAACATTATAATTGATCGCGGAGATTAAAATTAATAATATATTTTTATGTGGTTCAGCCACAACTCTACTAAAACCTCAGCCAGTAATAGGTAGGCCAACTTTTGGACCATCCAGTTGTCTGTATGACTGCTGTTGTCACGGTCCTGGGTCGGATTGACCCAGCATTTTGAGTTTTTTATGTCTTGGTTTATTTTTGAATTATGGATTGTTCTTTATGTTTCTCTGGTGCTTTGTTGGGTTTTATGACGAATCTGTGTTGTGATGATGATTATTAGTTTCATGTTTCTGTTTATCCGTGTTTAAGGATTTGTTGTTGCATGTATTGTTTGAGTTGCATGTGTTATATTCTGTCTGCGTCTTTGTTTAGTGGTTTCTTATTTTCTGTTTTATTGTGAGATATAAGTTCTACTGCTCCCCCTGTCTCGTTAGTCCAATTTCTCCCAGCTGTGTCTCCCTCCTGTTGCCCATTCCCTGATTACCATCCTGTGTATATTAGCCCTGTGTTTTCCTGCGCTCAGTGTCGCGTCGTACCCTCAGATCCTGCCTGTGTGTTCCAGTTAGTGGTTTCATGTTTGGTTTCTGTTCTGTTTTGTGCCAGCAATAAAGCTGAGGTTTTCAGTTACATTTCCATCTCTGAGTCTTGCACTTGGATCCACACCTCCACCTGCCCGCACACAGAGCCCTGACAGCCGCAGTACGTGCGCCACATTTGCGCACTATCAGAAAGTGCCAAACGGTGCCCTGGTGGAGTGAGGAGCTGTAAGGAGAAGTAGAGTGCTCTGTTTATATTCTAAAAATGTTTTAAGCTAGCTTGTTTCAGAGATTCTGTACAGCAGAATGTGCACACATACACTTTTTACAGTGTGTACCACCTGATAAAAATGTCAAGCTCTCCTAAGTACCACTATGAAAGAATGAAACACATAAATCTTACAGCACAAAATTAGTATTATTAAATTAGTAAAATTAGTGTCTGCAGTAAATATTTTTATTTGTAATAATTTATTCTGTTTTGGGAGTGTTTTTTTTTTATGTATCTGTAATATATTATACATAAACATTAAAAGAGAATCTCTGTCCAAAAAATGCACTCAGTTTACTTTTTACTCACTATGAGCATCATTCATTATTCTCCCCCAGTAATTAAGGTTAGGATATGTATTTTTTTTTTTTATTCCAATCCATTCTTCTTTGGCAGCATTTAAATAACCTTTATCAGATTTGATGGGTTTGTTACAAACTTTTCAAAAAAGTGTTTTGCTTTTCTTTCACAAATGTGGGGATTAAATTGTGTTAAAATGTACAAAGCAGTGATGTCATGTTTTGAGACAAGGACCCAAGGACAGAGAGACTTGATGAATTTAAGAATCCTATGATTTATCTTGCCTGGCTGGGCAGCTCTCTGGGTGCGCAGCACCCCCAAAGCTCTAATCCTAGAATCGCCCCTGGCTGCAACAATGAGTGATGTCACTGTGAAGATCAAAAATCTAACGGTTGTTTTTTTGTGCTCCTAGTTTGATCATCATGGGAAGGAAAGAATAAAGAACTAAGAGCTAAGTTTGTTGTTGTTTGATGCAAAGGCTGCGAGGAAAATGGAGCAAGGCTGTTGCATATGAAAAAAAGGGCAACAAAACAAAGACTCTCATAGAATATTCATCAATTCTGCTCCTACACTACAGCTTTAATAAGGAGAAAAACAAACCCAATCAGCCCCACATCAGCGGTTATGAACAACAATATAATCGCTACATTATATATGAAAACGGAGAAATTATCATATCATCCACATCACTGTGATCCAGCAGCACCTACTATGGCAGCAGGAGAATAGTGTATATGTAACCTCTAAAACACTGGTGTGTGCTTTCTCTAATATCAAATCAAACAGATTTCATCAGCACGGGCACATTCATAAAAGATAATCGTGCACGGGAAATAAATAGAGAAAAGCTTTTTCATTACCTCCTCATCACATATAGATCAAACATTTATTACCCTTGATCAAACATTCATTACCCCGTGCATTTAAAAAAGTAAGTAGACAGAGCTCACATTACTCACTGTCAACACGGTCTGCACTTTCATTGTGTTTTTATCTTTCTAGTATCAGAATTAGTAACACTTTAATCAGTCTGGCAATAAGTATACACGAGTATGTTTAATAGAAAGAAATTGAAAGAAAAACATGCATTGAATATTTTATAATCTGCATACAGAAACCACTCAAAAGGTTTCACTTTCTTTCCCTTCAGCCTATGGCCCAACAAAGCAGCTGTTCTGATTTCTTTAGACTGAACCTGGCCATTGGCATGTGTCCTCCTCAGCTCCAGCCGTCATTATCCATCTTCATGTCTCCCTCCATCTGAGCAGATAGCTCGCTCTTCCTCCACTTCCTCTTCACCTATTCTGTCTGTAACAATCCTCACTTTTGCTCACTGCAGTGAACCCAGTAGTCCTGCAGTAGACCTCGACCATTGGAAGCAATAAAAAAACAAACGCACAAGTGATTTAAATTTTTTTTTTTTTGCATTAAAGCACCAGGAGGCACCTACTGCAAGGTCTAATCATATTTACAGCAATCTATCAAAATATATTTATTTCACCTGTCGATACAAATGCTTCCAAACGTCTTTACCTCCTTTTAAGCACCTGTCTCTTTAAAGTTTTTGGCTTTTTGTTTAATTTTACTCATGTTGGAAGAAATATTATACACTACTAAATATATTTTTGTGTTGTTTTATATACTAAATGCTAATTTGTGTGACTAATTAGTGAAATCTTGTTCAGATTTGATTTGATACTAATGAATGTATGTGTCACAGGTTTTATTGACAGCTTACGTGTGCATGTTGAAGCTTATTTTATTAAGAGAATATTCAAAAACTAAGAGTGGACGTAAAGGAAACGTTATACAGTAGATGCTTCACCAAAATTTTGCACTAACTGTTTGGGAATTACACATTGTTTTATACAGAGTCTCTATTTTCAGAGTCTTAAAATGAACTTGACAAGCTAACATAATTTTACATATAAGAACTCTTTTTAATCATCTTTGCATTCAGTGACTGTCTGACATCTGTGATGCTCTGCCAGGCTTTTACTGCAGCCACTTTCAGCTCCTGTTTGTTTGTGGGTCTCTGTGCCTTCATTTTGTCTTCAGCATGACCTTTTGCCATTGAAGAGTATTTCCGTTTTTTGCCTTGAGAAACTCTTGGGTTACTATTACAGTATACTTT